TAAACATTTGGAAAATAATAAGATTCTTTCAACTGCACAGAACGGATGTCGGAAAGGGTCACATGGTTGTAAAGAACTTCTTCTCATTGACACTGCTATTTGCCGACAAGTCTATCGTAATCGCAAAAATATGTCCGCTGCTTGGGTGGATTACAAAAAGGCATATGACTCTGTTCCACATTCATGGCTAAAGAGAGTTTTAGAAATATATAAAATAGATGACAAAATTTGTAAGTTTTTAAGTAAATTAGTCAGTGGAACACTATCCTAAATCTACCAGGTGAGTGGCAAAGTAGTTCGATAGACTCTATAAATATTAAACGAGGTATATTCCAGGGAGATAGTTTGAGCCCAACTTTGGTTTGGTTAGCCCCGAATCCTTTAAGCACTGCTATTGAGGAATCAGGATTAGGGTTTCGGTTTCGAAAAGAAAACTCACCGATCTCACATCTACTTTATATGGATGATCTCAAACTATTCACATCAAACGAGAGTAATCTACTATTATTGTTGAAATTAACACATAGTTTCAACAATATTAGAATGGAATTTGGAATAGATAAATGTGCTGTCATCAACGTAAATAGGGGCAAAATTAAAGATTGTAATAATTTTGCAATTACAAATGACTTACAGTTCAGTTCTCTTTCTGAAACAGAAACCTATAAATACTTGGGCATGGCAGAAGCACTAGGAATTAATGACAAAAATATTAAAGAAAATTCAAAAGTAAAATTTATGTCAAGATTAAAAAAAATTATCAAAAGTCATTTATCCGACGGAAACAAAATTAGAGCATATAACTCCTGGGTAATACCTAGCCTTCTGTATACTTTTGGTGTTATCAAACAGAATTGGATGACTTAGATAGACGAGTCCGTACATTAATGACTACGCACAGAATGCACCACCCACAATCATCTGTCATGAGGTTGTATCTTCCAAGAAAAGATGGTGGACGGGGCTTATTAAACATTAAAAACCTGCACAACCGTGAAGTATACAACCTCAGAGACTATTTTATAAAAAAAAAGACACATCACACATTCATAATGACGTAGTGATTAATGACAAATCATTAACCCCGCTTAATATGTCGGCAAAGGACTGGCAGAGGCCTCATACTATGACTATAGATGAACGCAAAAAGGTTTGGAATGACAAACAACTGCATGGTCGATTTTTTAAAGCATTGACTAATCCTTGTGTAGACATGGTTGCATCAGTACATTGGTTACAATTTGGTGACCTTTTTGCAAAAACTGAAGGTTTTATCTGTGCAATACAAGATGAAGTAATTAAAACGAATAACTGCCGGAGATACATTCTGAGGGACGGCACAGTTGACGTATGTCGCGCACGTCACCACCCTGGAGAGTCCCTCAGACATGTTATTACTGGTTGTTCACAACTATCAAATGGTGAGTATTTGCACAGACATAACCAAGTAGCTAGAATAATACACCAACAGCTTGCCATTAAATTTGGCTTTATTCAACAGGATGTTCCATATTATAAGTATGAACCAAAGCCAGTCCTTGAAAATAGAAGTGTCACACTGTACTGGGATCGGTCAATTATCACAGACAGGTTTATAATGGCAAATAAACCTGACATTGTGGTGATAGACCGAACTACACGCAAGGCAATAATAGTGGATATCAGTGTTCCTCATGACGAGAATCTCGTAAAAGCAGAGAATGATAAAATAATAAAATATATTGACCTGGCTCATGAGATTGTCGCTATGTGGGACGTTGATTCTACTATTATTGTACCAATAGTTGTATCAGTCAATGGTCTTGTTGGTAAAAATTTGGACGATTATCTGTCCAAGTTAGGTTTGGGCAAATGGCTGAAGGCATTAATTCAAAAATCGGCCTTCCTACCGAAAAAATATATAAGTATTTATATTTATAATATTATAGTTTTGTGATAATATATGTGATAAAAATAAACAATAATAATAATGTCCTCCAGACCGAATTTCGGCCACGGCGGCCTGCTTCAATGGAGCAGGACAGGATTATAGTGTACAAGTGTATGCGCAAGCACAGGTGCACTCACTAATCCCTCACTCTCATAATCCGATGGGACGGTAAACCCACACGACCGGCGAAAGATCAGGCGCAGGACCAACGGTTTTACGTGCTTTCCGAGGCACGGGGGTGAGACACCACCAAATTCCTGACTCTGGGCAATTACTTAGAATTTCTTGACGGAAAAACTCAATAATTAATTTTTGGCCCGACCCGGAATTCGAACCCAGGACCTTATGATCAGCAGTCGCATTACTACAACCACTAGACCAACGAAGCAGATTCGGAAAATAATGCTTCCGCAAAAATGTAAATATTCAACTAAACAGCTAAATATTCAAATATAACAGCCAACTGCTCCAGTCCAGAAGGACATGTAATTTTTTTCCCAACTATACACTTAAAATTAATACTACCAGTTTTAAGCGACTGTACTGAAAAGAAATATAAACTGAAAAAAATATACTACACAAGTTTGGCAAGTAACTTTAAAAGTTGGCGCATTTAATAAGGATTCCAAAATGGTATAACACTTGCAAGACTGTTAAATTATGGATAACTTTTTTTTAAAGAACCCCAGTTTTAAATTAATTTTCCTTAATTGTCTAAAATGATTTTTGTACCCCAAGGCTTTCCTCAAGCCCGTTACCTTAAGATTCTAGCTTGAGTGAAACGGAAGGAACCAGTTGAAGTGTGAGTGTTAACGACAAAGAAGGAGAGAGTAATTTTACGTAGTTTGAGCGAGACAGATAGTGACGCTACTTTTTCACTGTCGCACACAAAATTAAGTTCAGCACATTACGCTCCTTCGTTTACTGCGCATCTTTCTCTATTCATTCATGTTAATTTCGTACTGACCACAGTTGACTTCGTTTATTGGACTTGATTGCTTGTGATTTGAATTTGGCCAGTTTATTTTCTCTTTAAGACGACCTAGTCTTAGTGCGACCATGCCTGCGACACAAGAATAAGCTAACATGCACCTCATTCATGCGGAATTCAGATGCAACGCTGGTGCTGCAGCTAGACTTGATCGTGAGACGTACCCAAATGCTGATCGTCATTTGTATCATCGAATTTTTTTAATGTACACCGTTTACTTTTCTCAGAGTGTCGACTCCCAAACTAAGCACATGGTCAAGGGAGATCTTCCCTCCCTTATGAGGACGTTTTTTTAGGGTAAGTGTGACAAACGAGCACACAGTCCAACTGATGGTAGGTGGTTGCTGTGGCCCATGGAAATCTACATTTATCCTCGATTACGAATCAAAATGCAGATGCGTTATCACCCGTGAGGACTAAGATAGAATGCCTCGTTTTCAGTAAAATGGGTCTCCGGATCTCTACACTCACCATACGAAACAGCAGACGTTAGTATTCTGTGAGAGCGTGGTCCCTTCCCGGTCGCACCAACCCATTCATGCTACAACTATATTACTAATATAGCTGCAGCATGGCTCTACCACGTTAAGAAAAACGTTATGCTAGAAGCTGTCGAAGAAGACCCGAGTACTTCAGTGCGTGCAATAAAATTAAGGACTAGAGTGCCCAAAAGTGCAACTCACAGAATATTGCAAGAAAATGATCTTCACTTTCTTTCTTCAGATTTTGACCAGTGCAGTGTATTTGGATTTTAAAGGCAAAGTATTCATATTGAATACTAGATTGGGAAAAAATTACATTTTCTTCTGGACTGGAGCAGTTGGCTGCAAATTTTAAGCAACAGTTTACAGAAGCATTATTCAGGATTACATAATAAAAAGAAAATTAAAAATAGTTAAAATTTGTAGCAACAGAAGTTAAAAGAGCGTCACAGGATGTAGATTTTGTCGATTTGTTTTATAAATGCCTGTAATTTTTAAAATACAAAGTAAAGATTTTTTTAAATATTTTCGTTGAACTATATATATATATATACATATATATATATATATATATATATATATATATATACATATATATATATATATATGTATTTAGGACTATGACCTCCTCCAATCACCTGTTTCGGTCTCTTCAGAATCCTTTGGATAGAGTAAAGTTAACATCAAGAGAGGACTGTCGAACCTACTTGTTGCATTGTTTTGACCAAAAATCCCAAGATTTCTACAACAACAGGATTATGTTACTACCTAAAAGATAGCAACAAGTTATTGAAGAAATTGGCACATATAATACTACTATACCTCAAAAAAGACTTGAAAGAAGCATTTAATAAAAAGAGGTTGTGTACATTAAGCCAAACAAAGGCTTGCAAACTTTATAAGATAATGTTCTTTTACCTATGTCACCGTCATCTTTTTTACTCTCTATTGCCACTCTCTCTAAAACGATGGGACAGTAATCCAACACGACTGGAGAGAGATCAGGCGTAGAAACAACGGCTTTACGTGCTTTCCGAGGCACGGGGTTGAAACACTGCCAATCTCCTGGCTCCAGGATGCTACTGAAAATTTCTTGACAGCAAAACCCAATAACTGAGTTTGCCCAAACCAAGATCTCATGATTAGCAGATGTACTTACAACTAATTTCTAAGACATTAGTAGCCCTATCAACAAATCAGTGAATCCCCTTTCCTGTTTTATCTTAATAACACCTTGGGTCCCCACTGGCAAATTCAGTACTTCATCATCATCATTACAGCCCTACACAAGTCCACTATTGAACATAGGCCTCATAGGCCAATTCAGTACTTGATTGAAGCAATATAATTGTATGGCCTACAAACAATCATTTTGGGTCATTTGGGTCATGGTTTGTTCATTTGTAATTAAAGAACTAAACTGTATGAACAGTACATCTCCAAATACATGATGCAAGAGAAATTTCTAATGTGGCGTTTATTTTTTATTGTTTAATACAGGTTTTATAATATAAACTCTTTTACCTATGTCAACGTCATCTGTTTTACTCTTTGAACCTAATGAAATTAGTGGCAAGTCGTTTTCCGAATCCTCATGTCAATCTTCAAAAGCATCAATCTCCAAGTCCTCTTGTTTTCCAGCAGTATCTAAAATGAAACACATTCTGACTCAATATATAAAATAAAAACTGATATTCTTTCCAAGTGACTAGATCATTACAGTCCATCACACAGGTTATGGGCCCGAGCCACCAACTTTCATTACCATACTGTATGTTTCACAAGCTATGTGTAATAACCTGAAGAGGCAATGGGCCAAAGAACTGACAACTGATGGAGAAGAAAGGTTCTCCTAAGGTGACGTAATTGTGACAGCCTCGTGCCGGTAGACGAAGTGTAGGGCGGTCCCCCACTAGATGGAGTGACAACCTGGTAAGACATGCAGAAAGTCAATGGATGCAGGTGGCTCACGACCGTGCTTTGTAGTGTTCCTGGGGGAAGGCCTATGTTCAACAGTGGACTTGTGAAGGGCTGTAATGATTATGATGATTCACCTTATTTAGTAAGTGTTCTGCCACAACTTGTTTTTAGTAGGTGAGTGCTTGCCAGTATAAGGATGCCTTAAGCACCTTTTCTCCATATATTTTTTAATATGAAGAGACAAACAAACTAACAGTCTACCTTATGGTATGTAGCTGATCAACCTGAAGGTAAGTGGTTACTGTAGTCTTACGTGTTAACTTCAAACATAATAGGCTACAATGCGCTGTCACCTCTGACTAGGGATGTGAGAAAAGGCATCAAATCCTATCCTATACCTCTTTAAATCGATTTTCATTTAATCGATTTTTTAAAGAAAAATAACCTATTAAAAAAACAGACTATCATTTGTAAATTGAGTGAATGAAGCAAATCTTTTTTTTATTATTAAAAACTGATTTGGAAAAGTAGAAATTAAAAGGAAATCAGCACAGGTGGCTTGGCAGAGAATGTAAAATAACAACTGTGATAATCTTTTCCCTAAAATACGACTCCTACTTTTTCTAACAATATTTCCAGCTTGAGAAATGCCTTTCTGCAGTAGCTGATGAAGGTGGAATGACCAGGTGCTTACAGGCCAATTCTGAGAGTTTTGGATACACTCCCGCATACGATTCCCACACATGTAGGGGGTCCTTTGTTAAATCTTCCAATGGCGCTGCGATATATATAAATCCAACTCCAACATCATGGCGTCTTCGGATCTGATATGTGAAGCAGCTTTTAACTTTTTGTGAGCTAGCCAGATGTTACTATCACCATCGAAAGCAACTGAAGATTAAGGGAAATCCTTAATTACACATCTTTTGATATAGCTGATTGTCTTTGCCAAAGCTAATCCATCCTTCAAATGATTTTTTAAATGCAGGTCTAGTAAAGTAGCCATTGAAAAAAGTGTATATTTCCGAAGCGTTTTCTTATTTCATTCAACAATGAATTTTTCAAATCAATAGCCAGTTCATGTTTTATCATCAGCATAACCTTACTTCCACTGACGTATTTCTCACTACTCATTTACATGGCTAACTTTTTCAAAGGGCTTTAGTATTTTTATTAACTCTTTCTATACTATTATTTCGTTTGCTTGAAGCATTGGTGGTGCATTAGGGTGGTTTACTAAAATGGATCCGATAGTAGTACTCATCATGACAAATCTTTCAATCATGTGTAGTTGAGAATTCCAGCGAGTGGAAATATCACCTATCAAACACTATTTTTCCGTTTGCAATATTTTAATCTTTCTGAGCTTTCCTCAACTCTTCAGCACCAACACCACTTTTATGCAACCAAGTCACAATTCTATGAACTTTTTCTAGAAAGCTTTTTAAATCTATTTCAGAAATCGAATTTTCCACAACCAGGTTCAACGTATGGGCTATGCATCTTGTATGTTTTCCTCTTCCATATGCAATTTCTATAGTTTTAACAATATTGGCACTATTATCTGTAGTGACACTAACAATTCTTTCCTCACTTATTTCCCACTCATTGCAAACTTTTCTTAATAATAATAAGCACTTTTAATCTGAACTTAAATATATAAATAATATATGTTGTATTTCTTTTTTGTTTTTTATAAAATGTCCCGAAGTTCAGTTTGCCTCTTGGCATAGGCCTCCTCTAACATTTTCCACTGGTACCTGTCCCGTGCTACCCTTCTCCAGTGATGTCCCGCCGTGAGTTTTAGGTCGTCATCCCATCTTGTCTGTTGGCATCCTCTACTTCTCTTGCCATCTCTAGGGTACCAATATGTGACCGTTTTACACCATTCCTCTTGTGGATCTCGTATCATGTGAACTGTCCATCTCCATTTTTGTTGGTCTATTCGGGTTAATATATCAACTAAAAACTTTACTTAAAATATTAGCTAAATAATCCGCTGTGCGGTTTTCAGTAAGAGATTCTTATGCAATGCTGAATGCAATTATGTACTTTAAAATTTTCAACAAAGTGGATAGTACACAAAAAAAGCTACTCATCTGCAAGTCCTTGCCCACTCATCTACTGTGAAACATAATATATTGTTTACCGAACGCAATTTCTGTAGCCTTTTTCTCTTCATATTTTCTGTCTATTATGTCTGTCACCGTTTTCCGATATGGTATTTTGTACAAGGGTGCAAGTAACTTTATCAGTTCTGAAAACCTTCGTCTTCAACAATACTGTATGGGAGACTAATATTTATTGCTTTTCATAAAATTTTAACAAAATGATTGCAATAAAGTATAAATTGGGAATGTTTCAAGCATTAACTCTCTGCTGCAAAAAATCGAAAACTGTTAGAGTAAAATCGCTTTAAAAATCGATTAAATAAATAATCGATTTATTTTCACAAGCCTACCTCTGACAACTAAGATGCAATGTCCCACAGCCTGTGATTATACTGACACTATACTCCTCAGACTGGCAAATAGCAGAGCACTCACTGCTATTTGACGACAGAAATAGGTAACAGGAGGATGGAGAAGTCCATCTGGGTTAAGAAATTGGCAAAGATAGGTGGTAGCCTACCAGTTGTAAGTATATCATTAATTCCTATGAAGTGAATACATCTTAGTGTACATACATACCGGCTGGATTTATACAACGTCAAAATATTTATAAATATATTTATACATAAGTCAAAAAAAATGACACATTAGAAAATGTCTAAAAAAGCTCATTATGATGTCCATGTATGGTATGGTTATCGTTTAAATAATTATTTGATTTTTTTTTATAGAAGAGGGGGCAAACGAGCATGCGGCTCACCTGATGTTAAGTGATTACCGCAGCCCATGATCAACCGCAACACCAGGGGAATTGCAGGTGCGTTTACGGCCCTTTAGAAAGGAGTAAGCTCTTTTCTTGAAGGTCCCCAGGTCGTATCGGTCCGGAAAAATCGCCGGTGGTAAACTATTCCACAGAAAGGTTGTACGCGGAAGAAAACTCCTTTTGAAACGTACAGTGGTGGACCGCCAAGCATCCAGATGGTGTGGATGGTATCGGGACGTTTGCCGCGTAGTGCGTTCACGAAATTTGGCGGCTGGGATTAATCCGAACAATTCCTCAGGGCACTCTCCATGGTATATGCGAAAGAAAATGCAAAGAGATGCAACATCTCTTCGCAATGCCAGTGAATCGAGCCGATCGGAAAGCACTCGGTCGTCGACGATTCGAGCCGCTCTGCGCTGGATGCGGTCAAGTGGAAGGAGCTGGTACTGGGGAGCCCCTGCCCAGAGATGGGAACAGTATTCCATGTGCGGCCGAACCTGCGCCTTGTAAAGTTGCAGGCGGTGTGCCGGCATGAAATACCGTCCCGCTCTGCTGAGCACGCCAAGCTTTTTAGTGGCCAATTTGGCCTTCCCTTCCAAGTGACCACGAAACTGCACGTCACTCGATATGTCGACGCCGAGGATTCCAATACTGGCTGAGGCAACAAGGGGAGTGCCTTGAAACTGAGGGGATACGACAAAGCGGTTCTTTTTAGCGGTTAACGCGCAAACTTGTGTCTTCTGGGGCAGTTAAACTGGACTAGATTTAGTCGCCCCCAATCCGAGACTCTGTTCAGCAAAGACTCGACTTCAGACACAAGTTTATTCCGGCACTCGGAGACGTTTTCCCGAGAAATATTGGCTCGACCGGTGTAAAGAGCATCACCAGTGCTGTCATCTGCATAGCAATGAATGTTACGGGTTTGCAACATATCATTGATATGCAGAAGAAACAGCGTTGGCGATAGCACGCAGCCCTGTGGAACACCAGCATTAATAGGCTTGCAATCGGAGCTTGCACCGTCTACAACGACCTTGATGCTCCGATCTGCAAGAAAGCTGGTGATCCAATCGCACAATTTCTCGGGAAGTCCATAGGAAGGGAGCTTCGAAAGAAGCGCTTTGTGCCAAACCCGATCGAAGGCCTTCGCAATGTCCAAACTAACGGCCAATGCCTCCCCCTTGGACTCTACTGCCTCCGCCCATCTATGAGTTAGGTAGACCAGAAGATCACCAGCTGACCGACCACGGCGAAAACCGTATTGGTGGTCACTAATCAGCTGGTGATCTTCAAGGTACCTCATGAGCTGGCAGTTTACAATGGACTCCATTGTTTTGGAGAACAAGGAGGTGATGGCGATAGGCCGGTAGTTGGACGGGTCTGAGCGGTCGCCTTTTTTAGGGATCGGGTGGACGAAAGCAGTCTTCCATGATTTTATAACTACGCCTAGGGAGTAGGAGTACCGGAAAAGACGCGTTAAAAACGGTGCCAACTCTGGAGCACACGTCCTCAGCACAATTGGGGGGGATTCCGTCAAGCGCACTCGACTTGTGGATGTACAGGGAAAGGAGTGCTTTGCGAACCGAGCGCTGTGTGAACTGCACTTCCGGCATGGAGCACTCACACCACGGGATGGTCGGCGGCGTACTCCCCCCGTCATCGAGAGTAGAGTTAGACGCAAAGAAAGAGCCTAGAAGATCGGCTTTCTCTTTGAGGTATGGGCCAGTGAGTCGTCCTCCCTGTGCAGAGATGGAAGAGACGGCTGACAAAAATTCCCCTGGACAGCCTTGGCAAGAGACCAGAATGCACGGGTTCCAGAAGGAAGGCGAACTAGTTTCTCGCCAATTCTGCCTATGTGCTCTGACTTTGCCTTGGCAATGACTCTTTTGAAGGACCTAGAGGCGGAATTATACTTCTTTTTTAGAGCGCTGGTATTTACATCCCGGGACGCTGATGCGTCAGCCCAGGCCCGGTAGCACTCCTGCTTATAGCATGATGCTATTTTACAGGAGCGACCAAACCATGGCTGAGATTTGCCTCCAATGGGCACCACAGAGGAAGGAATAAAAAGTTCCATACCCTGAAGTAACACATCAGCGACAGAATCCGCAACAACGTTGGGATCGTCTGGCGAGAAGCACACCCGCCCCCAAGGGTAGGATGCAAAGAAAGACCGCATCCCATCCCAATCGGCTGACCTATAGTGCCAAACACAGCGGCAGCCTGCATAATGCAACCGCGATTTCAGCGTGAGTGGCACCACACTCCGGACAAGACCATTGTCTTGCCGAGGAGTCTAAAGGGGCGTCGACGGAAATCTGATATCCGTCCGGGTGAGAGGTCAGCAGAAGGTCCAACAGGGAAGGTGCATGATCCTCCACATCTGGAATCCGCGTAGGCGAAGTAACCAGTTGTGTCAGACCATATGCAAAGGCAAAATCATGAACAGATCTCCCCGCATGATCGGTTAAACGTGAACCAAGCCATTCGGCGTGATGGGCGTTAAAGTCGCCGAGGATCACGATCTCTGCGGAGGGGATCTGCTGTAGCAACGAATCTGCAGCCATTTGGAGGTGGTCGAAGAGTCGGTCTGTTTCGGCATTACCGCTATTGGACCTATAAAGGCACCCGTAGACGCGCGGATGGTCGTCGCTGTCTACGCGTAGCCAAAGGACGGACAGGTCCGAACCTTCAAGTCTGCCGAGGCATCGAGAACAGATGTCCTCTCTGACGTAAAACGCAAACTCCAGCCCAAGGCACAAAGGAGTGTTCCAGTTTGTACCCCGGGTAGGATAAATACGAAACATCAGCTGGAGAGGACACCTGCGTCTCGGTCAGAATTCACGGACAGCGTGGCAGGGGTCGCCTTGGTATTGTTGCTCCGTTTGCCCCGAGCAGTTATAGTCTTGAGCGGAATTTTGCCCCCCCTCCCCCAGAATACGAGGGGCAGCCTGAGCACCCACGCTCAAAAGGGGAGAAACATGGTCGTGGATGCTCAGCGAGGGATTCTTCAGGGGTGCTGGTACCCTCCTGGGGTAGTCTATCATTTAATTCCGCTACCATGTTGATGGGGGGAGGGGGATTTGGGCCTCCGGCCACCTGCACTCACCAGACGAAACGCGAAAGCAGAGCTTCCACTTCACGCCGGTATTCTGTGAGGTCGTGGTACCACCCCGGTTTGAGCCGGCCCATACGTGCAACAGCAAAGCTGCCGCGTAGCTCTACCACTGTTAGGTGATTTATTTTCTTCCTCCATGAGTGCTTTTTACTTGCACTTTGAATTTAGGCAATGGCAAATCAGGACATTGCACACCAATCCCTCTTTAGTTTGTGTCCATGGGCTGCAGTAACTACTTGCCATTATGTAGAATTGTACCTTAATTTAATAATATCACAAAATGTGTATATCTTACCTGTTTTATGACTCCAGTTTACATCTAATTTGAAATTCTCTTTTTCGATTTTCTCTTCCTCAACTTTAACAGATTCAAGGCTAAAAATGTCGTCCTCACAATCATTTTCTATATCACACTCTACTGGCCAAATATCTATATGATTAATTGGTGTGAATTGAATCTCATCTCTAGCCTTATGCGGTTTTGGTATTGACTGAAACCAAACTCTTTTTTAAATAAGAGAATAAGCCAGTGTAGTAGAGGCGTAGGAGAATCCATACTACTCCATAGCATCCCGGAGATGCAGCAGCATCTTCCTGACAACAACTCCAAATAATAATAAAAACTGGACAAAATTGAGAGTTCCCAATAAATTTAAACAAGAATGTAGATAGTTTAGAAATTATTAGAATCGAGACTCAACAATTTTTCCATTCAGATTCACAAATATTGTAAATTGACTGATTGATTATAAATAATATTTCGTTTATATACAATAGATTAATACATATAAAAGGTTTTATAATTACTTTTGCAAAAATAAGTATTATAATTCATAAAATATATAACATTGCTCTTACAATAAAGTAAGTTGGGTTGAAAGAAAAACTTAACTTTGCAGTAGTAAATACATTCTCCCGTATAAAAAAATAAAATAAATAAGAAGGTTTTATTCATAAGCAAGTATATATACAATGGTAGACTTCTTTCGAATTCGAAATGCGCCCATATCAGAAGTAAGCCCCTCTTCCATATCATAAAATTTACTAAAGCTAGAGCTGCATATACTTTTAACGCTGAATGTAAACAACAAATATTTTTGAAATTTACAAAGTAGAAATATTGTGTTTAGTGTGTGCGTAATATTCTCCTTGAGCACATCTTGAATCCAACAATTTTCTAACTTCTGCAACAGAATGGAGGTACACAATGTCAAATGCCTTTTTAAGATCAAGAAACACCGCGAGGCAATTTGAATTTTTATAAAGACTATCAACAACTACAGATGTTAGGGCTCCTACAGCGTCTTCAGTTGATTTTTCTGCTTGAAAGCCAAACTGGATAAGATGGGAAACTTATTGAAGAAACTTATGAGCCTCTTGTTGATAAGTTTTTCTATAAGTTTTGAATATATAGCTTTTTAGTGAAATCAGTCTATAGTTGTTGATATCCTTCTCATCGGCACTCTTGTGAACAGGTGTTACTAGGGACTCCTTGAGCAAAGACAAAAACATTCCGTACTTAACTTACTTATATTAAAATAACATGTAGTAGAGTAGGACACATGACTTGTGATAGCTGGTATAGATTTGTGTTTATAAGCCAACATTATAGTGATCATTAAATTGCCTGCCAAGTGATTTGATTAAGGCAAATATTTATTATAATGGGAATGACCCATCAAGCAGTGAACTTTTATTAATAAGAAAAGTATTATTCCCTGGACCTTGTAGTGGTGGTTTCAGGATATCCACTGCCCTATATATATAGGGAAGGGTCTCGTAAGAGCCAACAGAGGGAAACAGAAACAGGAGTTGGGCAGCAGCATCTTCCTGATAACTACATTGGCAAAATTGCTGCTATGAAGCAATCTCTGACAGACTTTTATAGGTATTAATGGATGGAATAGATAATACCATGGACCCTCCTACAAGCAACCGCTCCAGAACTGCATTTGACTCAATAGCCTGTTGTTGCAATCTCCTGCAACGAATGAGTCTTGCATGACAGATGAAACAGACAATTATGGGCTCCTCATCCTCATCCATCTGAAAATATGAAAATTCATCATAAATATAGGAAACCACTTAAATGTATAAAAGTTTGTAATAAAGTATATTGGCCACCACAACTCTCTTCTTCAACATCATTTTGTTATAACATTGAAGTAACAAATAAACTTACAATCCACCTGATGGTAAGTGGCTGCCACAGCCCATAAGCACCTGCAACAAACTTCAAACAAAGGCTACAGATGCGATGTTACCTCTGAGGACTAAGATGTAATGCTTCACAGCCTACTCAGGTCAGTCCTTCAGGAGGGGACACAAACTGTATCAAATCAACTGCAGTATAAAGTTAGTTCCAGATAAGTTTGGAAATCTAACAACTAAATTATTTTATTTCATAAGGATATTGGCAGCAGCATTTTGCACATAACAGGTCAGAATAATTAAAAACTGCAGATGTCAACCCGCCTAGCCTAGGGTGGCAACTGTGGCAAATAATAATAACACCAAAAATGATTCATAAAATTTATAAAACATATTATATTCAACCTATTTTGTAATATGCATTCTAAACTATACTGAGCTACTGGAGAGGTTCAACACAGATATTCAAAAGTTCCTAGAGCAATGAAAACATACCATATGAGCAAATTCTGAAAACACTTAAGCTTAAAACTCTGAAAGATCACAGAAAATGAGGAGACTTAATGGAAACATAATACATGAACACCATAATCTAGAAATTTTTGACAAACTATTATTCCAGTACCCAATTAACACACATCTTAGAGACATCACCACAAATTAACTAAAGATGTGTCACAAAATTACCAAGAAGTGATTGAAGTATGGAACTAGTTGCTATCAAAAGTGATATTATCACAAATCATTAACCAATTTTAGAACAGATTGGATAAACAAATAAAATAAAACAACTAAAAGTTTGAAACCAAAGCAATGCAAAATAGTTTATTAAACATGTTTATATTCAAAATGCAAATGCTTAAAATAAACACGATAAAATCCGTAAAAGTAGTTTTAATCAATGCAAATGCTTAGTTATTTTTTTCAATGAAAGTATTTAAAAATATAAAATACAAAATATGTATTCAAAATAGATTTTTTAAATAAAATACCATATTTCATTGATTTTGACACTAAAATAGGTATTTTGCAGTGTGTATTTGCATTTTAAATATATGTAATTCCAATATTTCACGAGCACACAGTCCACCTGATGGTAAGTGAATACTGTGGCCCATAGACATCTACATTTACCCCCCATTAATTGTCACCCCTGAGGACCAAGATGGAACACCTCACTACCTACCAGTATATAGGGTCTCCCGCTCTCTACACTCACCATCAGAACAGCATTAAGCTGCTATTTTACGCTGGTATTCTGTGAGGATGTGGTACCACCCCTAACAATGATAATAATCTCCTACAGACAGCATGTGGTCACAACAGAGACTATACATCGGTTCAGGTCAGGATTATATTGCATGTGTGTTTATTTACATATTTGTTTATTTATATATTTAAATGTGCAGATTATATTCCCCCTCCTGATTTGTCTGATAGGAATATGAGAAATTTCTATCTAATATGGGAATTTCTGTGCACTCTTAATTTCCCGGTTTAAGTCTGATAGATATAAGTGGATGAAATACCAAACTTAGGTGGATGTTAATTTCTTGGAAAAAATTTACAATAATACTCATTGAAGTAACATGTACTAGAACAGACACCGCGAAAAAACTATGCAGCAGTGTGGGTCGTTTGGAAGGAGGCAACAGACTCGGTAAGTTTGAGCCCGCAGGCCCCATCGCGTGTTGTAAACACTACGTCTCGTCGTCACTTTTGGTATGTAGTAGATATTACTTCAATGATAGTACTGATTATTATTGTTTTTCAGATTCTGGTTGTATTTGACTCTTTATTTAACGCTGCACCTTAGCCTAGCCCCGATCTATCGCAATTACCGCAACTTCAATTTGCAATATTAAGAAGTATTATAACTTACAAAACTGTTCGTCAATGCCTTATACAAATTTTGGAGGCCAGTCTTCTTTAGTACACACATGTGTACATTAATGCTTAAACAAATTCTACAAATTTCACCGAAGGCCATTCCTGTTTCCTATAGCTTTAAAGTAATTATATTCTCTTTTTCACTAATAATCCGAAGTTTTCAAAAATATTAAAATGCAGTAGTAAAAAACAAACAAGCAACAAGCATAACAAGCAGATCAGAAAAAACAAGGTACCGAATTTGAAAGTATAATAAAAAACTTACCAATCATGAGTTTTAATAGCATGTATATGTTTATTCATGTCATTATATTACTTAAAACTAATATTGCACAAAACAACTTATAAACTCTACTCAAACAAAAAATATAAGCAAAACAGCTACTAAGACATATAGCATCCTTCCTTTTTTCTGCCAAACGCACACATAGATTACTATGATAGAAATAGATAATTCGGTGTAGGCATGTCGATTCTCTCTTAAAAAAATCGATCTCTGAATCGATTCGAATCGAACATACTAGAATCGATTATCGATTAAATCGAGGATTAAAAGATCGATTTTCGATTAATCGTGACATTTCCAAACATTGTTTCCAGAATTGCGATTTTTCTTAAATTGAATTTATATGATTACATTTACCTTTTGTTTTATGTATAATTACAGGCTGTGGGGCATTCCATCTTAGTTAACAACGTATATGTAGCCATCTTTATTTGTTGTTAAAATTCACATCAGACTAGGCTGTATGGTTTCAGACCTTTGCCTGCCATAATTGGCGAATCGTAAAAACTACAAATAGTTAAATTTTTTAGCGTTACAGACTTCATACATGGATGTCTTCGTAATAAATGGTTGCGTAAATTTGTTGTATTTCCGCATGTTTTACTTTGATATGACAATACTTGCATACGCCATTCGATCCCTTTTTTACAAAGTGATTCCATGTATCACATTAAGTTGACATTTTAGGCTCAAAAGAACAACAATACTTTAACAATTGCGCTAATTGCTACGTATATTGCTCGATAAATCTGTTGCAATCTAATAACTCACTATTTAACAAATTAAAATGAATGCTACACGATAACAATACTGGTTATTTCGTAACTATAAACCCCTATAAACTTCAACATTTAAACTACTCAAAACAAAATAGGGTCTACTCTAAGTTAATCTCGAATTTCATCTAAAAAATATTGCTGGGTAGTAGAATAGTGAAGTAAAACATTTTGAAGCATTGTTGACATGTTTACCTAACGTTATCAATGTTTCAAGTCAGGAATTTAATGGTAGGTGGACAAAAAAGTGAAGTACTCCAAAAAACGTTTATTACTCAAATTCTCGATGTGACTAAGGGTACACCTTAGTCACATTCTGAATGTTACAGTCGCACGTCTACTTTTTTCATTTTAACTTGATTTCGGTGTTACTCGCGATCATTATGCCTGGTTCTCGGCGTCATATGGATGTGGAAACAGCAACAAGAGCAGTTTTTATGCTTCAGGAGGGAGAATCTCAGAGATCAGTGGCAAGACGTCTTGGTGTGTCGCGACGAGCTATTCGAAACGCGTGGGAACGCTTTCTAGAGACAGGTAGTGTCGCGAGGAGATCTGGATCAAGAAGAGCGCGAGCTACAACCGTCCAGGAAGACCGGTATATCAGATTGACTGCACGTCGAGCGCGTACAATTCCCGCCCACGTCTTACAAAATCGACTGCGGCAATCGACTGGCACACGAATTAGTGATCAAACCATTCGATATCGGCTCCATGAAGACGAACAACGTTCCAGATCTCGTGTTATTCGTCTAAAATTGACAAGAGCGCATCGTGCAGCACGTTTGAGGTTTTCTCGCGAGCATGCGGAGTGGACAATGGACAACTGGAGAAATGTACTCTTTACGGACGAAAGTAAAGTGAAGTTTTTCAGTGATGATAGTCGAGTGCGTGTATGGAGAAGAGAACGAGAACGTTTTATCAGAACCTTGCATACATGAAACGGATCGTTTTGGAGGTCCAAATGTTATGGTGTCGGCTGGAATAAACTTGCTCGGTAAAACTGAGCTGGTAATTCTGGTAGAAGGCTCCATAACTGCCTCATGGTATGTCGATCGAATAATTCGGTCCCATGTCATCCCATTTACACAAAAAGTGGGTGAAAACTCTTCTTAATGCAAGACAATGCTCGCTCACATACAGCGCGAACAACCCAGCTCTCTCTGAAGCCAATATTACGGTTTTATTGTGGCCGGCCATGAGTCCCGATCTTAACTCCATTGAACATTTATGGGACCAGTTGAAAAGAAGCCTAATATCGTACTTCAGTAATGTGACTAATCGACAAGAGCTCATAAACACCCTAAAATTGTGTTGGGAGCGAATACCCGAGTAAAACATTACCCACTTGATTGAAAGTGTTCCAGATAGATTCAGAGAGTGCATACGGAACAGAGTAGAACCTACTCGCTATTAAGCACCATCAAACTCATTGATTTAGTCAATAATAAAAATGAAAATCAAACTTTACTTAAATCTATAATTTCTGTAAACTTTCCTAAAAACTGTAAGTTTTGACTAAATTCCATAAAATTGGCAAAACTTACTCTTGTTAATATTCACACACTTTCAAAAACCTTAATTTATTCATTCCTTATCATAAAAACTGAAAAAAAGAATAAGAATCTGTAAAATTCATTTATAAAACATGGTGGGCCCTATTTTGTTTTGAGTAGTTTAGTATTTATTTACAGTATCTAGGTATTTAAAAAGTACTCTGTCTGTGGTCATAGCTCACGGTATGTATATTTTTGATAACAATTAAAGTAATAAATTCACAGGTTCACAGCTATAATATATTAATATATATATTGTGGTCTTTATTCACAGCACAGATTAAGTTAGACCCACATTCACAGAGTACTTTTTGTATACCTGAAACACATTTCACGGGTAAGATTAGAATTAGAATTTTAGAAATGAAAAACAACTTTTCGATAGCAATTAGGTTTTGACAAAAATAGTGTTGGATTATATAATAGTATCTTAGCTTTGCCATAAAGCTAGGAAACTAGTATTAAGAACAGATAATCTTTTATTATTGTTTTCGTGAATTTATCATTGTCTGATTATGTGATTGATTGTGTACTTATGAGGGTGACTTGATCTAGTAGATCTAACCCTCTATAATAAATAAAGATTTAAAAAAAACCTATTCGATATATTTGGATGCGTTCATAAATATTTATTTTATTCAAATATATATATTTGAATAAAATAAATATTTATGCGTTCAAATTATCAATCAAGTACGACTGGTTCTTTTTGCGTCCGCCAACAGTAAAAAATTAAAAAACTGCGGTATCTAACTTCTTAACCCAGCCAGTTTAGGAACTTTATCTCTAGTTCTTGAATCAGATGAATCAGTCCGATTCGAGAGGTTTTGGGATCGATTCATCGAATCGATGCGGTGCTCTGAATCGATCTAAAAGATCGATTATTTTACTGTAGATAATCGACTTTTCGATTAATCGATTTTAGATCGACATTCCTAATTCAGTGATCATCGATCATGGATCATGAAGGTCAGAGAACACGTAGACAGAGTTTCTCTGTCTACGAAAGAACAGGAGTACTCTTATTAGTTTGTGGAACAGGAGAACGATCAATAAAACATACGTACAGGGTTGCCAGATCAGATTTTCGAAAATACTGTGTTGTTCACATTAAATTACGGTGTTTGAGAGAAAAATATAGGTAGTGTTTTAAGAAAAAAAAAATACAGTGTATTTTACAGTGTAATTAAATGACGTATTAAAAGCAAATAATTTTTTAATGAACCAAAATATGCATTTATTTTAAATATACTATACTCAAACTAACTAAATATCTTAGTATTTAATACACAAAGTAGTTTAATCACTGTCATTATCGATTGCCTCCCATTTTTTGTAAATTTCAGAGTCAAAAGATTTTAGCATCTTGTCAGTTGGCAGAAAATTTACACAGTTGCCGCCATGACGACAAATGGCCAGTTTTGCCAACATGTTGCCTTCAATTGTTTCTGTAATTAATCTATTTCTGTTCTTAGTTTTTGTGTCATTTATTTGGCTGAACACCCTTTCACACTCGGCGTTAGAATTTGGAAGAGCCAAAATGTTCAGCATAAACTGGGCAACCAAACTGAACTCTTCAAACTGCTTTACCTAATGCAAATATATTACAAATAAGAAAAAATATACAGAAAGTCCAAAACTTGTAACTAATAAAAATGCTTTTTACTTGTGCCAAAATATATCGGGTGGTTGGCTTGTATCCAAATCTTTCTTCAGTTTCGGCAATTTTCGCCACTGATCGTCTATTTGTTGTTTCTCTGCTAAAGAAGTTGGTGTCAATCTTGGCAGTAAGTTAAAAAGTACATGAAAAGATTCGTCTCGCCGTGAGTCATCCAAACAAATTTCAGGATCCAATTTTGAAATCGAACTCAGGACAGGATCATTGAGTGCATATCTTTTGCGGATTCCTCTCACTTTCTGTAGAACTATCTCTTGCGCGAGACATTATTTCCACAAAAAAACATCACGATTTACACTTAAAACTTAATTTAAATTACATCAGAAAATATTTAAGCGAAATTTTTTAGAACTAAATACTAAGACGATATACCGGATAATTTAAATGACACATCAATAACATTAAAACAACACTATGGCATATCCAAATTCCATTTACCTGAATAATACCGTCTATGGTGCGGCCGATACTGGGAATTCCCCAATTCCTCGATGGAATATCATGTACTCTTTTGTGTTGTTCGGCGGACGTATTCGTCGCATTCATAATTTACGATATTTTTCATAAGTAGCGTTCATTATGAAACGAAATTTTGTTTTTGGTTGAAAAAAAAAATACTGTGTCTCCATACACTGTATTTATAAAAGTACGGTGTCCAGTAGACGGCGTTAAAATACTATAATTACAGTGTATCTGGCAACGTTGCATACTTACTAAAGCATAGCCCGCCTGTCCTTGAAAATTGTAGAATATATAGCTAGCAGCGCTGACGTCGGTGAGTAGTGACTGCAAAGTTAGCTGTTTATGAGTACAAGTAGATGAAGTTAGTTGAATAATGTACAAATTTTCATTTCATTTTTAATGAGAAAATTTTCATGCTCCTTAATTTTGTAATTTTTGACAAAAAGAAACATTAAAAAATGGAGAAATATTTTATTGTGCGTGGATGTGCAAGTGGTTTAGCATCTGATCGGAAAAATGGACTGAAAATGACTTTTATTGACAGAAATTAGCGATCGCAGCGCCTCACTTATGGTGTCCATATTTCTGGGACACTATTTTCTACGGTGATCGTTCTTCTGTTCTCTAACCTTCATGTCATCGATGTTAAAAATCATGGAGGTTAGAGAACAGGAGAACGGTCACTACGTACATAGATAAGAGTGTAGTACTAAAGCATAGCCCGCCTGTCTTTGAAAATTGTAGAATAGAATTTATAGCGGCGCTGACGTCTGTGAGTAGTTACTGCGAAGTTTGCTGTTTTTGAGTACAAGTAGATGAAGTTAGTTGAATAATGTACAAATTTTCTCCGCGACAGTGGTGAAAAAATTTTCATGCTCCGTAATTTTGTAATATTTGACAAAAAGAAACATTAAAAAATGGAGAAATATTTTATTGTGCGTGGATGTGCAAGTGGTTCAGCATCTGATCGGAAAAATAGACTGAAAATGACTTTTATTGACCGAACTTAGCGATCGCAGCGCCTCACTTATGGTGTTCATATTTCTGGGAACTATTTTCTACGGCGATCGTTCTCCTGTTCTCAAACATTCCGGTCAATCCTTCATGTCCATGTCCCTCAATTCAACACGCTTCACAACCAGAGTAAGGGTGTCCACTTAAAAATAAATCCATGGTTTTTTCGATGTAATGCATCGAGACTGTACATCGATATATTCAGATGCATTGGTTAGAAACATCGTCATTTTTTAAAAATCGAGTACTTTTTCCGACTTTAACCATTTATTGTTTTTGTTTAAGCAAAATTATACAAATTGTTATTTAACTTATAACTGAATTTATTTAGGTAGCTTCGCGACTCCTTTCGCGAATGATTCGATGAAATGTATGCAATAAAATATAGATAATTTATGTTGTAAAGTATCTTACAAATTATAAAATAACTTCTATTTTTTTTATTCACTAAATTATACAATTGTACTTTTGTTCATAAAAGAATAAATAAGTTAACTTAAAAACCTTCTCAATTACTTTACTTACTACCTATCCAATTCAACATGTACGTGTACGACATTATTAAAATCAAATTTAACTTAGCATTTTATTCACACCTCACGCAAACAGAACAGATGATTTTTTTTAATTTTCTCTAACACAGTGCTTCCAGCCAGTCAATTTCAATTTTTTGATGCCGCGTAAGGAATTTACAGCTGCTAACTAGTGCCACCAATTATTATTATATCTAATATTATAATTTAAAACAGATTTAGAAGTTATAATATTAATAGAAATAGCTGGTGAATCATAAATCATTAATTCGATGCTGTAATATATATATATATATATATATATATATATATATATATATATATATATATATATATATATATATATATATATATATCGATACATCGAGTGTATCGATAACTTTGTGATAACATCGGATCAATTCGATGAATCGTATTGTAAACATCGAGTGAGTTTGATGCATCGATGATATATCGAATATCCCTAAACCAGAGTTTATTTTTGTTCTCGTATGAATTTACATCAGAATGCTGTTGTACGATTGGTTTCTTTTTGCATTGAGAAAGGTTTTAGCCAATGAGCTCAATGCAATTTATGAAGCAAAAGGTGTAAGAAAAGTAAATCAAGTTTTAAATCATACGTTATAATGTTTTTACAATTTCCCGCCGTTTGTAAATAAAAGTATTGGATTTAATAGTTACATTTAATCGTATTTTTCAACAACTTACATTTTATATTATAATTGAATAATATATTGTTAGGAAGATGGGAGTAAGTATTTTAAAATATATCATCCTAATAACTTACTGTAAAAATATCTTTTAATTCCTTCTTATTTGTTGTTCGATAATCATAACATGATTATTAGATAACTTTTATATGAATAGAGTGACTAACAAGTTAAATATCCGCTTAATGGTAAGTCTTACCAGGTAAGTCTCTACTGAAGCGCATGATCACTTTCAAACCAAAGATTTAAAAATCTTTGCTTCAAACTACTTAAAACCAAGAAGACTAGAAGTGCGATGTCTGCCTACCTCTAGAGAGTATCGCAGATTGCCTTACAGTTTCCAGTCACATTAGCTCTTCATATCCGTATAATCTGAAAAGAACAGTGTATTCACTGCTACTGCTAGACCACATATCATCAAGCGATGTAAGTAGGATATAGGCTCAAGCAATGTAAGTAGATAGGATAGTGAGGTCCACTGGAACACATCACCAAGGAGTGATATGTGGTCTTTCACAGCCATGTCAATAAACTCAAAGATCTATATAAAGGAGTATATATTCCTTGGAGATTAAAAATCCATGTGATAAATTAGTAATGAGGATATTCACAACGGTATATTTGTCAATGATAGCCTAACAACCTATCTATAGGGACTCCTATGTATAAAACATGCTTTTTTTATAATCTTACCAATTGCACTGTTTTTATTTCCTTTAAATTTGTTCCAGAAAAAGTCAACAGCTTCTGTAGCCAAAAGTAAGGAAAAGCGACAGGCGAGAAAGCTAGAACAGCGTCGAATAGCAGATGGAATGAATTATGTGACTCTGGCAAATAAGTTGACTGACTTAGCATTTCTTTGTAAAGAATTATTGGTGTTTCGAAATAATGAGATGGAAGTGGACATGTACATACAAAGGGTAACTGAACTTGACAAGAATGTGCTAGATTGGGCTATAAATTTAACAGAAAAAAATATGAAAAAACTGTAAGAACTTTACTTATTCTCCTTTTATGCTTTAGATATGTGTTTCGAGGTGATATATTATATTTTAAATACCACTACCCAGCAACAGCAAAATGGAATTTACACCACTTATTGATTAGTTGCACTTTATATTGTAACTACACAAAAGTATGTGTTGCCTGAATTGACTTATGGAACCGAGATATAATCCTTTCACAGCAGGCTGTATTAGAAACACAGTTACTCAAAGATTCCTAAGGACACACTTTGGTGTTTCTCTTCGTGATGTGTTAATATTTCCGGATCAGAATGAGTAAATGACACAGCCCAATGGATTAGGAGGCTAAAGTGGGCTGTTCATATTGCTTCCTATGCTTGAAGAACTGGCGATGGTATTTTGAGTGGTAGCCGATAAGGCTGGGAAGCACATTTAGGGCAAGGAGTCCATTAAAGTTGGTGGTTTAGGACCATACTTTGGGTTTATCAATGGAGGGGGCCTATGTTCGTTAATGTACTAGTGATGGTCTGTAATGATGGTGATAACAATGATAATGATGGTGATCAGCTTGCATAATTCACAGAGATTGGTCTGAAGCTCTTCACTTAAAGTAAATGTAAAAAAAAATGTAGATATGAATGTAGATGTAAATAGAGTTAGCATTACATTATTTTAAAAGTAAGTGTTAAGTGTAGTGGTAGTGTAAAAATATCCACTACCTACCCTATATTGTCCTTTGGGTGTCGTAAGATTTGACAGTGGGAAACAAGTCAAGAGCTTGGCAGCAGTCTTCCTGCTTTTGACTTGCAGTTGCCAAACTCACTTGCCAAGCATGGTAACTACGGTAAATATGAGGCAATTTATGGTAGAAGCCTATGTTTAGTTGTACACTATAGTAGTAGTAGACTTACACGCTGCAACAGCAGGAGCAATGGAAAAGAAAAAATTTGGAAAATAAGAATAGAAGGGGAGTTGAGCTAGTGGATCAGTTTGTGTATTTAGATGTTAAAGATATTAAAATTAATTAGCTAAGATCTGCGTAAAAATGAATATGATGTCTTAACAAATTTGAAGGCACTGCTTACCTTCCCTCAAACTTGAACACATTCATATACATACAAATATACATATTTAAATACATACATAATTATTACATACAAATGACTATGTAGTAGTAATGTGATTTCCGCAAAGTAATGCTTGATGCTATAATTTTTTTAGAGTGTTTATTTAGACAAGGATATAGAAGGAAGAGTGAATGTAGTACACAGAGTAAATGGGGCCTAACATTCTGATGCAAAATGCTGCAATGAATCTTTTTCTACTTTACTAGTCATAACATGGTAATGAAAAAAATGTGTGATGCTTATTAATTACTCTTTAATAACCAGATATGAAACATGCGCATGGGGGTGGAATCGTGAGCGTAAAGTTGAGGAAATGACAGATGATTCTGCATGGTACCTCATCGCAAAAGAAAAGAAAGGCAAGCTGCTAGCATTCTCACATTTCCGATTTGATATGGATTTTGGAGAGCCTGTATTATATTGGTGAGTTTTAAATATATATATATATATATATTTCTATAAACTTAATATATCTAGATCACAATAAAGTAGCTCTAACACGCTAACACACTAGCAGTGAAAATTTAGCAGAAACCATTGAAGCTGGAGAATTTATTGTTAAATAGTTGCTAAAAACGATATTGTAGCCCAAATTGGTTCTACAAACGACAAGTAACTGCTGCTATTTTTATATTAAAAGTAGAAAAATAATGTAATCAATGATAATTGAGTCAAGTGGTAGGTCAAAACTTTTGCTGGGAAACCGTGTAAGATAAATACGAAAATTCAAGAATT